TTTTTTTTGTTTTGGGTCAGAGGTCAGGAAGATTAGTCTGTTGGGGTTACTAGTTTTTGCTGACCCAAGTCCCGTAAGTCTTTTGTAGACCACCACGTCCGTAGGACAGGGAGCATATGTGTCTTGCTGTCTGCCGTATTCCTATTGCTTAGCCCAGTGCTAGGCACTTGGTAGGTGGACAAGAGAAATTTAATGAATGAAATTGGGGGCAAAGAAATAAATGGGTTCAACTGAAATGGAACATCTTGATAAGAAAGGGAAAACTCAAATGGTCTTATTAATTTTATCTTGACATAGTTGAACTAAGGTGAACGGGCAAATGGGGGGAAGTTGCAAGATAGAATGAAAATTAAGATAGAAAATAAATATTGATAGAGCAGCTGCATCAAAGGTTTATGGTGAGCTGTAAAGAGTGGGAGAGATAAGTATGTTTATTGATGTCTATTGAGCAGAAAGCCATTTAATATTATACTAAATTGGAAACTTGTTTTTTCCTTATAGACACAAGGTGTGAACAGAGAGCAATTTACAGGTAGGAATTACTTCTATTCATGATATTATGGGGCCTTTAGAATAAAATAATGTGGTATGTTATGGGTAAAGTTTTCAAAATAAAATGATCACAGATTCCACATTCCTTTTTTGGGTATAGAGTTGACAAACACTGTGTCATATAGTGGGAAAAGGAAAGGACCCGATTCGTTGTCTGATGGACCAGCTGGTAAAAGGCCAGCTTTGCTGCATACCCAGTTTTTGGTAAGCGTCTCACTATTTTCCTCTGAATACCTTTCAGAAATTAAATTATATTCTATAGAGGAAATTATTCCTGGAATAATTTTGGAAGGGAGTGTGCAATTTACTTTTTCTTTCTTTCCAGACACCACCTCAAACACCAACACCCGCAGAGAGCATGGAAGATGCTCACCACAATGAATCCAAACAGGACAGCAGTGCTGATCTGCTTCAGAACATTATCAACATCAAGAATGAATACAGCCCGGTTTCCCTGAATACTGTCCAAGTTAGCTGGGTGAGCCCTGCGGTGGTCCCTCAGGGCTCTCCCCGAGAGCAGTGCCAGGACTTCCATGGAGGGCAGATCTTCAGTCCACCTCAGAAGTACCAGCCTTTGCAAGTCAGCAGCTCCCCACACTTGATGGATCAGGCTTCCATGTACCAGTATTCTCCTCAGAACCAGAACATGCAGCCACAGCCGCAGCAGCAGCCACAGCACTGTACCCAGAACCCAACTCTGGAATACAGTCCTTATTCCAGAACTTCCCAGTCTCCCAACTATGAGCCAAACTTCTTTAGTAACCAAGAACTACAGTTCTGCCCAAACCAAAGTTTTGCATCCCTTTTAACTAGTCATGGGGA